GATTTCTATAGTTTGTGTTATCACACATATACAATCCTATAATATATTATCTTGTCTACAATTTTCGTAATGGTCGATGAATAATATTAATTTCTGAATATTGCCGAATAAGCGTAATTCGGCTGCCCAGTCACATTAACGAAAAATGCAAAATAGTAGAAGACTTTTCGACTCAATTTTTAATCAGGAACAGCATGATGATTAATGTATGATTAGTGTCTGCTATTTAAGAGACACCCTGTAGATTGTTTTCTGTTCTCAAGACATCTAATGGCGAAATTCGATTGGAAGCGCATTGTTGTACACGTTGAAGTGTTTTACACTGATTTAATTTGAGTGTAAAAATGAATATGCAAATATTTCGAATTATAAAATACATATTTTACCTAACAGCACAATAAAGTATATTGGCTTAGTTTACATCGTGCAAACCATATACACATATGTGTATTTAATTAATCATTTTAATTAATCATATTATATCAATTTAATACATCATTCTTTGAATATATCGTTGAAATTACAATAATAGAAAGTTATTAATTAGTACGTGTATCAAGTGCACGATGTAAACTAAGCCATTGAGTGTTTCACGATTTAACCGGTTTTTATGTTTATTTATAAACGTATACCGGATATATATTTACATGAACTTTTGTACGACGGCTTTAATGTGCATCAGTGGGCACTGATTGTAAGCGCGTCCAAACTAAATTCGCTATAAGACTTCTCGAGTACATAACCGAAATTATGTACGACGTGTCATTAAATTCGATTGAAGGATACTTATTAATCGCGGTTTGGAAAAACCTCGCGCGTCACTACTGTATAGAAATCCTAAGAAACAGCATCATTTCCTGTGCAAATACTTTGTACGTAAATGTTTAGATACTTCCTGGCCAAATCGGCTCAGAGTATTGTATGCATATCGTATATGTCACATCCGGAAGTATTAATCATCGCTTAAATATCCATGAAACTTAGGCGCGATAAAAAACACACTGCTTATTCGTTTAACCGAGAGTAACACGAAGATTTTATATATCGAAGGCTGCAAAAAACGTTCACCGTAACTAAATATGTACAAGCCGATCGACATGGAAACGATCGCGGAATAATTTCCGCGTTTTCGTATCGGCAGTACTTCCGATTGCGTAATTCGCCACGAGGATTACGCGGCCGATTCAAGGATGTATTGCGCAGGTTGCGTCAAGATTGCATTACCCGTCATCGGGATTGCGTTGCATTCATGCAGGTTGTGCGTCTCGCTAAAAAAAATACCGGATAAATGTTTGCGAGCACGGAAAGAATGATTGATCTATATCTAAAAGTTTTTATTCTAAATTTCTTACAGTGAAATCTCACTCCAAGACAGTGAAAATGCTACTATCCTTGAAAAAAAGTAAAAATGTAATTAAATATTTAATTTCTGGAGAAAAAGTGATGATCTTCACTCTTTTTAGAATAAATTTTCATTTCAAAGGCGTGAAATCTTCTCTGAAGTGAAAATTCACTCTAAAAAGGATGAAAATTGAGAAGAAAAGATTCACTCTTTTTCAAGAAGTGAAATATTTTCACTTTTTTTTGCATTTTCACTCTCTTGCAATGAGATTTCACTGTAAGAAATTTAGAATGTGTAAGTATAGATACAAGTCTGAAAATAATTTGTTAGTCCATCAAAATAATACAGAAAATATATTGTACATTGAGATTTATATTATTTGTATCACACAAAGACCTTGCATTAGTTCGTAATTTCTTACGTATATTTTTAATTAATTTGAAAATATGATTAAGGCCAGTATTCATAATCAGTTCTTATATTCAAGATCGTCTTAAGTTCTGTTTTAGGTGTTAAATCAGGAATCAATCAGAGGCCGGTATTCATAGTCAGATCTTATATTCAAGATCATCGTAAGTACGGTCTTAAGAAGTTACGAACCAATCAGAGGGCTACATTAGCGTCTTAAGATATTACTTAAGACGGTCTTGAAATAAGAACCGGCCTATGTCTAGTTTTAATATAGAAAACTCAAGCATGAAGAGAGCAATAGTGCAAAAAATTTTGATATTCTAGAATCTAGCAATTAGCTTAAGCGTTTTATATAATTATTTTGACAATCCAATAAAATTTATTTTTCGATCTGTATCTAACTAAAATTTTAAATAATTCAACAAAGCCGTTTTTTTTTTTTCTATGAGTGATTCGTGACGGACACAACAGCTTCTCTTGTTCTTTTTTAAGCGCGCGATACTCGTTGGGGATCGCGTTATCTTCTGCGATAGGAACGTTAGCGGCCGACCACCAGGCATTCAAATTACCGGAAAGTCATTAGACAGAGAGTGAAGAGAACAATCCATTTACCGCTTCCATTAAGATACGCAAAGCAAAATAAACTCCTTTGCTTCAACGTTATTTTCGTTGACAAGTATGTCTTAACTCGAAATTTGATAAGATCTCTCCAACATAATTCCGTAGGCAATTTGATAAAAGTCAGTGACTTTAAAAGGAAACTGTTAAAAAATAAGTCAAGTTTTGATTTAGGGAAAAAAAAGTCACTAACTTATCAAAAGTGTCCACATTAAGGCCATAAAATGATAGTGTTCCCAAAAGATTAATTTGGTTCCTTCAGATATTTAATTTACCAATGTTTTTTTTTAAATAGTGATATATGGCACCAAAATAATGACGGACAAAATATTCATTTCTAGCTAGATTTATATCTGAATCGTAACAAGCTACGTGCTAAATTAATGCAAAAATATGCTAATTGCGTTGTTTTTCAACACATTCCCTTCTATCGACGTTTCTGTGAGAGATATAAATTACTATCACGAATTCGATCGCTCGTATTTCGATTATGTCGTTGCGACTCTTTCCCTTTATGCGAAAAATCACAAAAATAGTTTTGCAGAAATATTTTTACACTGAATTCGTAACGTTCGACGTTGTTTGCACGATGACAGTAATTTATTACGTCAGAAACCTGCAGAATGGCAGGCATCTGGAACGTCTACGTTTGATGAGCCGCAGTAGATAAATCAAAATGTCTGAAACGGTAAAAACGTGCTCAGTGAATTTGTTGTTATGTCGCACACGGCGTCGATGATAGAGTATCGTTATCGATGTGCGAGATAACGATCGTTCAGAACGTCCAGCAGAAATAGCATCGCATTGCTACCGAGATTTAGTATCGCGCGAACCGTGAAGGTGGATTAAAAGTCATACCGAAGGAAGCATGCAAGAGGACGAAGATGACGATCCCGCTCATAGTTGAGTTGTTCTCGACGGACCGCTAAACTAAATCGTCGACATCCCGCTGACGATTCTAATTTCGATCCTAGTTCTATTAAGATAAAGAATAAGAGAGACAACTGAGAGATACAAAAAAGATAAGCCGATAAGAGATAATAGAAAAAAATTTGTCGTTGCGACTACCGTTGATTACTGAAGGCGAGATGAAAATGATTGTAGAGACCAAAGGATACGTAAAAAAAGTAAGTGCGAGTCATTTGATGTGGATGAAACTCGAAAAGAGTAGAGTTGGATAAGCGGATAAAAAGGAGAGTGGAGAATTGAGAGAGAAAGGTAGTAGGAATTGAGGGAATTTTATTTTTTTCGCGAAAATTGCAGTCATTGAACGTACGAAGCGCGTATAGAGTGTAAAAAGAGGCCAACTTTGTGAAGAATAGAAAAGAAGAGCGAAGTGTGAATAAATTGAGAAGTGTGAGGAAAGAAAGATTAGAAAAGAGGGGACTGGAAAAAAAAACGCAGCAGACATTCCACTTGTGAAGAAGAATTTGAATGTTAATATTCAGGTATACAAGCAGGTTTTATTTTTTACATCTTTACCTTTTTCTTTATTGGTGCTAGGAAATTCCTGATGATATTATACATTGGCCACGTGGACCGGCTATAATCAAGATAAGCTCTTAGCAACGAAATGAGAAAGATAGACGTGAGAAAGAAGAGGAATGAAATTTCAAGCGAGTGGAAAACGATTGAGACGCAAAAAAGATGAAACGCATTAATGCAGAAAATTTATTTTTACATAGATCGAATCTACATGGAATTGAATTTATATAGCTTTTTACACAGATTAAATTTATTACAGAGATTGACTTGTTAATGAATGGTAAAGATAATATTTTTAATTCTTTTATCGAAGAGACTAGTGAAGAAATAAAGAAAATTATACAAGAGTTGAGGAGGAAAAGAATAAACGGAGTAAGTTTAGGAAACTTGAACATTTTTTTTAATGAAGACGAAAAGATGAAGAAAGAAAAAAGCGGACGTGGAGAGGTGAAGGACGATCGTCAACAGGAATTAGCATAATTAAATCGTGAAATTCTCGGTGACCGTGAATTAATCGCAAATAGAATCGGTTCTTAACGGAGAAAAAGAGACAATAAACAAGGAAAGAAAAAAGACAAGATAAACGGAAAAAAATTTGTCGATGAAAGATCCTCGATAAGATGTCAAATTTCTATCGATCGTCTTGATCGAAATAAGTGTAATTAGTTTTAAGAAAAGATAGAAAAAAAATCCGGTAAAGAAGATTGAAGAAAAATAAAGAAAAAGAAGTAGAAACGTTGAAGAGTGGTGAACAACTGAGAGATTAAGTGACGTGGATGAATAATCAAGGAATTAAAAACATGAACGCGCGTTTGCACGAGGTGACAGCAGAAAGAGAAAGAGAAGAAAGTGAGACGAGGGAGGAGGGTGGAAACATCATTCTTGACGACGGTCGGTGCTCTCAACAGCGAGGTCGTTGCTCTGATCTTCCCAACGACTGGATCGGCAAGATATCGGGTTACACTGGTGCCGATGCGCATCACATGGCGGGAGGAAACGTGATTGATTTCCCGTCGCGCGAATTGCTGAAACCACCACCGCTGCCGCCGCCGTCGTCTTATGGTCCAGCGATCGCGTTTAACAACGTCTTACCCTCTCCCAGTATTACGTCACACGTTGATGGTAGTGCTGGATCACGAGCTTGCGATATCGAGACGGCATCTTGCTCCACGATGAGATTTCCTTATGCGCCTGGTGCGACTTGCGACGTGGCGTGCAGTAATGCACCAGCGACGACGTGCAATGTCGCTCGAGCGAGTGCCGACTGCGACGGTCCGCAGACAACGTGGTTCCGCAACGAGGCTCACTTGGCCGAGCCACAGTCGGGGGTTTGCACGGCGAGCACGACGACGACCTCGAGAATTTGCCAGCTGGGCCCAATCGACGTCGAGGATCTCGCAATGTACTTCGATTCACCGACGGACGGCAGCAAGCCACCACCCTCGTTCGGTAATCGAGCGATCTATTCGAAGAAATCGCGATACGGACAGGTCGCGAGGATGGATCAGTCTCAGGAGCATCACCACCGCGATCTGAATTTCCGCGATCTACCTTCTTGCGATTTGCGCTTAGTCGATCTAACACCTAGCGATCTAACATCTAGCGATCTAGCGCCCAATAATCTACAAGCTTGCGATATGGGACCGAGTACACTGGGATATTGCGACCTGGGGAACAACGATCTACGGTTTCGTAATTCCGGTTACGACGGTCCGCCGTTTTGTGATCCAAGACTTGGCGATCCGCGATTTTGCGCTGCGAGGCTGTCCGAGGAGCAGCCCCGTGAACCAGGGCGACACGATCCGGGACTGGGTAATTGGTTCTGCAACGACTGCCCGGAACTGTTCAATTTCTGCAGCGAGGAACGGTGGCTGCAGTGCCCGGCGAGCGACCGCTGTCCCCTTTATGACACCTCGTATGCTTACGACGTGCCTGTTTTACCGCCATGTATGTACGAGAATGGTTACAACGATAATTGGCATTACGACAATACGGAGGACGAACAACTCCTCGAGAATTACTTGTAAGTCGGCGATCATCGTAATGTCCTCTTTCTCTCCGTTCTCATCCGTTGTCAAAGACAGATTGTCCTTGTTTAATATCATATTATGTTAGAATCACAAATGGTGAATGATTTTAATGAAATTTGTTGAAATTTTCTAATGATTTTCTGAATGATGGTATACTGTTAGCTATTAAGAGAACAGTAGTAATTCAATCCATTTCCTCGGTTAATTTTTAAGTAAACAATGTCCATATTAATATGCACTTAGTAAATAATAAATTAAATTTGAGTTAAATTTAATACATTTGTCTTTAGTTAAATTGTTTTATTCTATTGCTTTTTATTAAATTAACGACATATGTAGTAAGATAATGGCGATCTATAAAATTGATTAAAAATAAAAAATTAGGTACCATATGGCGTTATAAAATTTAACAGATTAAATCTAGTTTCCTTAAAATTAATCTGGATATTTTAATTTTAATTTTATTGAATTTTATTAGTTTTCTTCTAATATAATCTTAGAATCCAACTTAGATTTACTTACTTAATTTTGGTAGATTTGTATATTCTTTTATTCAGTAGGTTTTTATATCTTGTTAAGAAAAATTGGATTTCTTTAACTTTGAAATAAGATTTCTCAATCACTTAACAACAAGTTTGAACCGTTATTGCAAGAAAACTTTGTTTGTTCAATTGAAGGAGGACTTTGTATGTTATTTGCAGTTTACGCAATATGGAACATTTTATATCAATCTTACGCGGTAAAAAAGAAAATGAGTTGACAATCGTTTCGTCACGATAATTTTCCACAACGTTTAATTACGTCTACCGTTCTATTGGATTAGTCGATCAGTTTGACTTTGACTGGAGTCCGCGCCAACGGTAGGAGGGCGGTGAGGGAGAGAAAACGTGACGAGATCGTAGGATCGATTTCAAAAGCAATATCGTTCGAAGGTCGACCTGTCGCGATGATAACGCTTCGCTTAGCGATAACGTCGGCGCTTTTTCTCGATTAACGACCGAAAAGATGCACCTTCCAATCCTAATAGCTGCATTCTGTAACAATGACAGTGGTCGAACACGCTCGAACTCATAGGATTGTTGTTTTAAATTAGGTTGTTCAAACGATTTCTTGAACTGAAGATGAAGTTGATAATTTTATAAAATGTTGAATATACATCAGATCCAATCAAATAAGTTCAATTGCTATCGAACTACTATTTAAATGTTCTCTTTATCGATACGCATATATATATATATATATATATTTGCGCTTAGTAATCGAGCGCAGCCTTGCTTCGAGATCAAGTAGCGTCCGCAGCTGCACAGCATCATGATACACGGTTAGCGATACAACGTAATATTGAGCCGAGTTGACGACCTTCAAGAATCGAGCAATGAGACTATGGTCTGTTCTTCCACCCCAAGTTCTGAACTGGTGTAATAAGTTAGAGTGAAACAGGTATAGTTTGTTTTATTCTAACTTTTTGCATTAGTTCAGAACTAGTTTAGAATTCTTCGAAAAAGAACAGACCTCGTTTATCGTTCGTGATAGCGCACCTGACATTACACTTGTCGCTTACAAGGTACTTCAAGATGTCTGTTTACGGAAAAAAAGTTCAGAGATAGTCAGGAGAGCTCTCGTTCATGCATGATTCATTTTACGTGAAAAATGAAAAATGATATATCTATATGTTATA